CTGGGGTTGATTTCCTTGGCTACCACAGCTGCAGCTCACCAGCGTCTTACTCTCGATCCGAATGGGAGCCCTTCTTCATCTCCCCGATGCGTGTCTGGCAGGCAGTCCGTATCCCTCCCCTGCCTGGTTCCTTCGGAGGAAATACTTTGTTCTGCAAGAACGGATGGTGCGTTTCCCCCCAGCGTTGACTTTCACTTTCTAATTTGTGCCTTCCGGTGATGTTTGGATTTCTCCCACGAACACGGTCGGACTCTTTGTGCTTAGACCGAAGATGAACCTCTTTCTTTTAGCTGTTGTGGTTAGGTGCTGTTCAGTTGGTCCCGGTTCACAGCGACCCGAGGCACAAGAGACAAAACACGCCCAGCCCTGCACCTTCCTCGCCATTGTCCTGCACCAGCTCATCCCTGCAGCCACGGTGTCCATCCGTCTCGCCCAGGGCCTGCCTTTTTCTCGACCCTTCTGCTTTGCCAAACATAATGTCCTCTTCCAGGGACTGGCCTCTCCTGGGAAGGTGTCCAAAGTATGTGGAGATGACGTCTCGCCATCTTGGCCTCTAAGGAGCATTCTGCCCGTACTTCTTCCAAGACACATCTCTTTGTTCTTTTGGCAGCCCGCGGTCCTTTCAATATTCTTCCCCAGCAGCGTAATTCAAATGTATCGATTCTTCCTCGGGCTTCCTCATTCAACAGCCAACTTTCACAAGCATATGAGGCGACGGAGCAGGCCCTGGTTTGGGTCAGGTGTACCTTCGCCCATCCTCAAAGTGACCTGCTTGCCTTGCCAGCACTTTAACGAGGTCCTGTGCCGCCGATTTGCCCAGCGCACATCGTATGCCTCCTGCTTCCACCTCTCTCCCTGTCCTCTAAGGAGCCAGTCTTTGGCTCTCAGAGAACCAAAATATTCTATGGGTCACTCAGCATTGAACTTGAGATGTCACGATGTGTCAATGAATAGGGAGTTCTATGGATTTCACCCATCACCACATACTTACGATGAGACCAATAAGCAACAACATGATAAACAAGGAAGAGACTGAAATTGTCCAGGATTTCATTTGACTTGGGTCTACCGTCAACACCTAGGCAAGAACTGACTAAAAGTAAATAAATAAATAAAAAGAAATCAAGCAGCTTATTGCATCGAGCAAACCTGTTTTGTTTTGTTTTTTTGAAGCTACAATGTCATTTTTCAGATTAAGGTGTGTCTGACCCAGGCCATTGGATTTTCCATCTCCGCATAGGCTGGGAGAGGAATCAGGAAGGCCGAAGGGGATCGATGCCTTGGATCTGGGGTGTTGACAAAGAACGCTGAACATACCAGGGACTCCCAAGGGACAGACGCGTCTTGGAGGAGGGAGAGCCAGCTCTAGGATGGAAGCTATCCTCTTAAGGACTTCGGCCATGTTATCAGGAGGGACCGTCCTTGGAGGACAACTTCAGCGGTCAAGAAGAGAGCGAGTCGGTGGAAAAGAGGAAGCCCTTCAAAGAGATAGATGGACACGATGGCTGCTACTCATGGACTTTAGCAGAACACAAATGGCGAGGCTGCCCCAGCAGAGCCAGACAGAGGTTTATTCCAGCTTACACAGAGCCGTGCAGTAAACAGCCCCAGGAACTGTAACTGACCTCCTCTGGCTCTCCTATTGCCAATAGGCAGGGAGCGGACAGGCCCCCAAGCTCTTTCCTTCTTTACCTACACTGGCACCAACTAACTATTCCTCCCATGGCACCCTACGGCTGTGCTGGGTGCTATCATTCATTACAATGGCCCCACAGAGCTCACGGACAATACGCACTGTTCTAGGGGCTTATTGGGGAAGTTCATCTGTTACCACAAGCCAGGATCCGTACACAATTAGGATACAGTCATGGGCCCACAGCAATCTCGCTCTTAACAGCCAGCAGCCAAGTCTCTCTATCTGGTCTTCAGCTTCTCAGCCATGTGGCCCCTTGGCCTCTGCCTCCCTGGATCAGGAAGCGCACCTGTTGCTGTCTTGCACATCCTCTGCGCTGCACTTCTTGCTCTGGCCCACGGTCTCCATGCCTCACTCGCTGGTGCCTCTGCCGCCACTTCAGACAGAGATTTTGAATGGGCTCTTCTTTCAATTGTCCCAGGATTTCCCTCTGTTTGAGATGGCACTTATCCACAGAGTAATGGCTTTGATGGAAGTGTAGTTTTTGTATTTTAGCCAACCGTGCCCCCGAGGAAAACAAAGAAGGATGTCTTATGTCACACCCTCTTGGAACAAAACCAAACTCACCGCCATGGAGTTGATACTGAGTTCGTTAATTGTGCCATCCTGGCCGATAATCACATGTGGAGCTAATTGAAAGGCGGTGGGATAAATGGGTGGTGAGCCTCTCCTTTCTAGTTCTCGGGTCTCTTGCTTTATGATAGTCGCACCAGGGTGCAGCTGCCTTAGCAGTTCCCTGCTTCAGCTTGCAAGATTGACTTCCTACAAGACATCCCCAAGGAGAAGCCACATGGACCTATCCCGATGCAGCCCTGGGTGCTGGAGCAGCCGTGTGGAGACCCCTGCCAGTGCTGAGACGCTTATTCGTTCACTGACTCAGCTTTCCTCCTGCAGTCGGCATCATTACCTCTGTTTTGTGAGGTGGAGGACTTTGTGGACTGGTGTTGGGTTAATGGGTTAATGTTGGACTTGTGGGCTTGGGCAGCATTGGGTTGGGATGGTTTCATGATGCACACTTTCTTTACATAAAACTCTCTTATACATGAGTTGCTGTGGATTTGTTTCTCTAAAGTACCTAGACTAATACACTGACTCATAGCAACCCTGTAGGATAGGGAAGAGCTGCCCCTGTGAGTATCTGGATCTCTAATGCTTTACAGGCGTCGAAAACCCATCTTTCTCCTGCTGAGTGGCCAATAGTTTTAAACCACTGACCCTGTAGTTAGCAGCCCAATACAGAACCACTATGCCACCAGGGCTCCTACAGAAGTCAGGTGGCGGTGAGTCCTGATCTCAGGTGTGAACCAAGTCACACCCTTTGTTTCCTTGGGGATATTTTTACTGCCTACCATTAAGCCAAGTCAGTAGCTTGAAACTATCAGCCACTGCTCAGGAGAAAGACGGGGCTTTCTACTCCCATCAAGAGTCACAGTCTTGGAAACTCATAGGTCCAGTTCTACCCTGTCCTCGAGGGTTGCTATGAGCCAGCATTGACTCGATGGCAGTGAGTTTGGCTTTTTTTAAAGCCTGTCCTTTAGCACAGCAGGGAACTCCCTCCAAACTGGGATGACAGCCGCAGACTATCACAGAGCCCAGGATTCTAATGCATCGCGTGAGGAATGACGGCTAGAAAGGCTGTCTTAGTTGACGATATCTCCGATCACTGTGAGTCAGTACCAGCTTGATGGCACCTACCATCCACCACTCATTATCAAGTGCATATTCGTGCAAACTCCCTGGCAGGTTCTACTGTCACCACCCCTCCCACCCCAGAAACAGTGAGGGCCCGGGGCTGCACAGCGTCACAGTCCTGGAATCCGATGACACCGCTAGGGACGAGCAGCGTTTTGAACAGAAGGGCCACCAAGAGCCCCCGATCTGAATCGATGGCTAGGCAGGTGCTTGGGGTTTTAAACCTAATCGTCGCTGTTGACATAGGGCTATTGGAATTGCCTTCAAGAGCATAGGAAACTGTTTTCATTTGTTATCAATGTCACCCTGCAGGGCATTCTTGAAAAAATCAAAAACAAAAACAAACCCTCACAGCTCCCTGCCTCCCCAGGGGGACGAACAACAGAAAGGTGGGGGAAGGGAGACAGGGAGTGGGTGGTGTAAGACATGAAAATAATGATAATTTATAATTTACCAGGGGTCCATGAGGGTGGGAGAGGAGGAGAAGAGGAGCTGACACCAAGGTCTCAGAAAGAAACAGAAAGAAAATATTTTGAAAATGATGACAACTTATGTACAAATGTACTTGATACAAATGATGCATGGATCGTTATGAGCTTTAAGAGTCCCCAATAAAATGATTTATTAAAACAAACAACCTCACAGCCATCACGTCGATTCCAACTCATAGCAACCCTATAAGACAGGGAAGAACCTTAACTGTTTACAGGAATCAAAAGCCTCTTTTTTTTCCAGAGGAGCAGCTGCTGGTTTTGAACTGCTGACCTTGCGTATCACAGTACAATGCACAACCACTACACCCCCAGAGCTCCTGTGGGACATTAATAGTGTTGCTAGTTGCTACTCAGTTGATGCCAATTGCGGGTGACCCCACGTGTGCCAAGTCAAGCTGTTCTAAACGGACCCCAAGGCCATGACCTTTTGGAAGCAGGTTTCCAGGTCTGTCTCTTCAGGAGCCTCTGAATGGACTTGAACTTCCAACCTCTGCAGCTAGACCAGTGTTTAACCCTCTGTGCCACACAGGGACGCCTAACAAATCCTTAGCAGGTTTTTAGAACAAGACCCAGCAAAGGTCCGGGGCTCTGAAATCAAATCGGTTGGTCCCACAGCCCGCCTCTGCCATGTTAGCTCAGGCATTAGGCGTGATGCTTTCCTTATCACAGGCGGGCGCTGGAGAGAGGGAGAGCGCTCGCACCCACCGGAGGCAGCGTTCAGCCCAGGGAGCGGGCCACCGGGCACCTTACTGCCGCCAGGGGCGAGGCGCGCGGCTGTGCTAGCACCTCCCGGGCGACAGAGGGCGCCCGCCGCCGCCGGCTGCGCGAGGGGGCGCGCAAGCCCGGAGGTGAGCGTCGGGCCGGTCGGTGGACTGGGCCCCATGCGCGAGGCCATGCAGGTAGAAGCCCGTCTCGAGGTTCAACCCCAGCCCCAGCCCCAAACGAAAGCGAAAGTCCTGCCTCTAGTGGCCTGGCTGTTCCAAGGTGGAAAGGGGTCAGCGACCACCGGCGGGTGGGTGAGGAGAGGCAGGTGCCTTGGGGATCGGAGCTGGGGCGCGCACGTGGTGCGG